AAGCTAAAGCTAAGCTAAAGCTAAGCTACAGCTAAGCTACAGCTAAGCTAAAGCTAAGCTAAAGCTAAGCTACAGTTAAGCTAAAGCTGAGCTAAAGCTAAGCTAAAGCTAAGCTAAAGTTGAAGCTAAAGCTAAGCTAAAGCTAAAGCTAAAACGAATGCTGAAGCTAAAGCTAGGAGGCGCAACTGGGGGAACCGCGGGGCGGATACTGGGGGAACCGCCCGGGCCGGTTCCCACTGCCCGGCCCTTTAAGCCAAGAGAGTAAGAACCCTTCTAGGCAGAGCCTAGGTAGGGAACAAAACCCAGCAAAAGCATGTCGATTCTTGAAATAGGAAGGCGCTTGAAGTAGATTGAGATCTGGTTTTCCAGAAATACCTACTTTCAACGATCGGCGTGTAAGGACAGCACCAGAGGTAGCCCAGATGATAGTCGAGGCTCTCTCGAAGCCCCCGTTGGCGCAGACGCTTCGCCACGACCTTGAGCTGCCCTGCCTGTCGCAGGCAGCGCAAGGGTCAGCAAGGACTGGCCGCGCATCAGGGGCGCAAGCACGGCGGGAGAATGGCGGTGCGCAGCTCCTGCGTAACCTCAGTCACAGGGCACCGTCATAGGTGGCGTAGCATTGCTTCTGCGTAACCTCTGCTTCTGACGGTGGCGTAGCACTGCGCACACGTCATGGGGCGTTGCACCACTTGCCATGCTCCCACAAAAACATACCGCGCCGCGATGCTCGCAGGAGAGCTCCCCAAACTTGCACGACCGCGTCGCGCAGAAGGCCGCTAACCTTCGAGGTGACACCCGGGCTCGCGCTCTGGTGCACGCGAGAATGAAATTGAGCCACGGCACCCTGCCAGACACCAACGCCCAGCGCAGGTCCGACGTCACAATTAGGACACGCTTCCTATCGAGACGCTTTTCCGCGTCACCATCTGTGAAGACAGGGGAGCCCTTTGTCATGGTGAGAGGTGTTCTCCCCTGTGAGCAGAGGCGCCAAGCCTCGTGCTGCTGGGTTTTTGGTCGCCACAGCCAAAGTCACTGAAGAGCTCCAGGCAGCGCCCACGGCCAGCGCAAGTCAAGCCATCATGAGAATGATCATGATCATCACCTTCATCATCATCATCATCATCATCATCATCATCATCAGCAGCAGCATCACCCTCATCGTCATCATCGTTATCATCGGCGTCCCCCTCCTTCTTCTCCTACCCGCCACCATCAGAATGATCGTTATCCTTATCATCATCAGCATCAGCATAATCACCATCATCATTATCCCCCTCCATATCATCATCATCAAAACAATCATCACACGATCACAATCACAATCATCATCACCACCACCACCATCGTCATCATCATAAGCATCAACATCATCAACAGCATCATCATCACAATCATCATCATCACCATCACCATCATCATCAGCATCATCGTCAGCATCGTCATTATCATCCCCACCATCATCACCACCACCATCACCATAATCGCCATCAACACAATCATCCTCATCACCATCATCATCAACATCATAATCGTCATCACAGACACCATCACCATCACCAAAACCACCATTATGATCATCATCAGCATCATCACAATCATCATCAACATCATCATCGCCATCATTATCCTCCTCCTCCTCCTCACCATCATGATCACAATCACCATCAGCATCACCATCATCGCCATCATCGTTATCAACATCAGACTCAACATCGGCATCATTATCAACATTATCATCACCATCACAATCACCATCACCATCACCACCCATCATCATCATCATCATCATCAGCATCATCATCATCATCATCAGCATCATCATCATCATCATCGTAAGCATCGTCACCGCCACCATCATCATCACGATCATCATCACCATAACCGTCATCAACACCATCATCGTCATCACCATCATGGTCAACATTCTGATCATCATCACAACCACAAACACATTCGCAATCACCATCACCATCATCATCACCATCGTCATCATCATCACCGCCATTATCATCATCATCATCATCACCAACATCACCACCATCAGCATTACCGTCATCAACACCATCATCGTCATCACAACCACCATTCGAACCATCGTCACCATCAAATATCATCAGCATTATCACCACCATCATAAATATCATCAGCATGCGCAGCAGAATCATATAGCATCACCATCATCATCACCATATTCCTTCTTCTCCACTACGTCGTCAGCATCATAACGATCGACATCACCATCATCATCAGCATCAGCAGCATCGCCATCATCAGTGCCCGTATCATCATCAACACCAACATCGCACGATCACGATCATCATCATCACCATCATCACCATCACCATCCTCGTCATCAGCATCAGCATCATAATCACCATCACCATCAGCATCACCATCATCATCAGCATCACCATCATAAACATCATCATCAGCATCCTCATCATCATCGTCACCATAATCATCACCACCATCACCATCGCCGCCACCATCATAATCGTCG